TTTAGGTAAGGGAAGAGGAAAAGAAAAAGTATAAATGAAAACACAGTTAACATGTTTTTATTTGATATTAGCTAAGTATCCAGAAGAATTTCATGGGTGAGAAGATGGAGTGAGTTCAACAAAAATAACCTGCCAGAGGATTTAAGAGCGGCTTGCCTCTAAACCTCCTGAACTAACTTATATTCTCATCTCAGGTTATTTCAGTGGAAATCTGAGAGGAGGTTTGTGTCATGATAAGGTCGTAGTAATCCAGAGGAACTTTGGTTCACATGCTATTATTTCTGCTCTATGGGAAAATTAACAAAGTTTTAGTTGAAATTTATCACTGATTGTTCCCCAGTTTAAAACATCAGCAGGGGTAGCAATGCTGCAGATGAATAGATATTTCTATACCGTGTAACCTATTACCGTAAAACTGAGAGGGGACATATGTATCAATGGAATATAAACCACCCCATGCAAATCGTTTAAGTGCTAAACCCCATCAACATCAACTACTAAACCAACTGGGCTCAATCAGGCGACCTCAGTAAATTACACCACATAAACTGGTGAAAAGTTTGGCACGTGAACTATGATGGAAACCTCCAGTTCCCATCAAAATTTCTAGCAATGCTCTCTGGGATGTGAAGGAGGGACTACAAAGGAAATTTCTGTCCCACCTCAAGCCTCAGAGCTGAACAGAGAGCCCACCCCACCGCTGCTCCCTTTGCAGGGGTATTGAACCTGGACAGAGTGTGATGTTGACAGTGTTGCTGGTAACCGCAGGCCAAGAGCTGGGTCAGGGTCAAAGTCAAAATCTGGTCTGTATCCAAATATATGGGCAGGTGACCCATAACTCACAAGATGGACAGACTTAGCAGCACTTCCCAAGTTATGAAGCTAAGGAGAAGGAAGAAAGTATGAGATCCTGAAGTACGTGTATTAAGCAAACAAAAAATTAAAAGCATGTGCAATTGCTGAAAGGAACACCTGGAAGTCATCTAAACCAACCTCCTCCTCAAAGTAGGAACAACATTATTAGGTTTTGAAAGTACTCCTGGATGGACCTTCCACAGCCTCTTTTAAATCCAATGCTGAATCATTCTTATGGTACCATTTTTTTTCCACACACCTAGTCAGACTTTCCCTTCCTGCAATCTGTCTGTTGCTGATAGCCCCTTCACTGTGCACCTCCAAATGCCTGAATCTGCCTTGTCTCTAATTAGCCATTAGACAGTTGAAGGAAGCAATTAGATACCCCCTTTGCCTTGTGTTCTCCTGGCTAAACAAACCTCTGCCCCTCCTCAATAATTCTGGACCATCCCTGAGGTCCTCCACCGGACTTGTTCCAGCTTACCAAAGTCCCTCTGCTACTGGAGTTTCCAGCCCAAATGAGGGCTCCAGCTGCAGCCTGCAAACACCGACGAGAGGCGAGTACTCGCTTCCCATGACCTGCTAGCTGTGCAGGGCAGCTCAGCAGGCACGGCCCTCTCCTCCGTAAGACCCCGGTTAATGACTGGCTGAAGAGAATTCAAAAGTGAACATATCCATGCAGTTGTGCACATCTTGATGCTGATATGTTCTCAAGGAGGTGAGGGAACTCTTGGAAACTGTCCTCCCATAAAGGGGATTATGGAAAATAGCAAGGGGAGGGTGTTCCACAGTGAAAGTGATGTAATCTGTCAGTGGTGCTAAAGCATTAAATTTAAAAAAAAACAACTTGTGGTGAAATCAGTTTGACTTAATGTTTCATATGCATTTTGCAACTATTTTTTCTTAATGAATCAAAAAGTTTTTTTGAACCCATAAACTTTGCTGATTTGCAGCTAAATGTAATGTATAATTGAAATTTCCTATCCCTTTTTGGCAAGCAGTCATTTAAAACTTAAAAAAAAATATGGAATAGTCATAGGAATTATACAGATATTTATTATTTTCTTTTTTTCTACTTTTTTAATGTTTACCTGCTTTCCGATAGACACTGAGCATAGAAAAAAAAAAGAAAATTTGAAACTTTTAATTAAAAAATGTCTTTACTATAATTTTTGGGGTTTTTTTTTGTTTGTTTGCTTAAATTGTGGTGTTGCTTATTAAATAGAAAATAAACAGAAGCAATTATTTTCCTTAGTACCATATCCTTGGAGATTTTTGAACTAGTATGTCTCAGGATCACACCTCATTTCAATAGAGGAAACCCAAATTTTCTTATTTTTCAATTCCCATTTGTGTTCCTTTTTCAAAAGAACCAGCTATTGACTAAAGTAAATGAAAATAAAGAACAAACTCTAAATGTACTAGAGAGTACATTGGTGTATTAATTCAGCAAATGATTATTCTTAGTTCCAGGCATTTAGCAGCAACTTCCCACAGACCAGAAACCTCATTATTTAAAAATCTGCCAGCAATCACTCATTCTGTGAAGGTGATTTTAATTTAAGTGGTGTTAACTCCAACCAATTACATTAAATGCCTACATTTAAGTATTATAAATCATCAAATTATTTTTTTCTATATATGTACCTACGTAATTTATATTAATGATACTAATCTCAAAAGATAAAACAAAGTGAAGACCCACATAATAATATTTCTTCTTTCTCTATTCCAAGAGGTGCAAAATGACCAGGGGAAATCTGCTGGAGGAACCTCATGTTAAACTATGATGCCTCATATTGCACTTTGGAAAACATTCGGGCTTAAGTAAAATTATTTGGCCTATTGGCTTTTAATTTTAAGTACTTTTCTACATGTGAAGAATCCTGTGGACACTTCTTTCACACTGTGATGCCTTGCTGATGTTCCTACTGTTTCCAGTGTTGCTCTTTAAATTCATACCATTCCTATTCTACGCTGACTTCCCTGTAAGCACTGCATATAGCTCTAACCAATGGGAGGTTTCTGCGGGCCTATTTAACTTTTTAAGCACTGCATATAGCTCTAACCAACGGGAGGTTTCTGCAGGCCTATTTAACTTTGGCATCGCTGCAAGAAGCATTCGGGATGTTAGAAGTATCAGGGACTACCTTCTGCCTTAGAAAATAATTTATATGCACTGATGGCTATGTCTGTAAACTAGTCTTTAAGATGTCAGTTCAGCCTTGTCTTTCATCCATGAAGCATGGCTGCTGGGCTCTGTGGAGCTGGTGTATCTTCAGCATTTAAAGGGCCTCAGTGGGAGTTGGTAGGTGGGAGAGCCACTATGAAACATCAGTGCTCTCGTAAGCTCCTTGCTGGCTCAAGGCCTTCTCTCTCCACCCTTTGATCAAACAGGATTCACCAGTATGGGATGGAAAGACAAGTCTACCTCCATGGGCTGGGAACAGGGCTGTGAGCAATGTTTCCTACCGCTTCAGGTGTGATGTCTGGTCAGGACACTTAACCTTTCTATTCACATGTGGAAAAGTAAAGTTATTCCAAACCTGAATTTTGGCACAAGAGGTAATAAATATAAGAAATAATTGCAAAGAAAATATTTTGGTATTTTAAAACTAAACATTTTAGCGTCTAACTGTCTAAATTACTCCACTGATCTCCTTAAGTTTTTATAAAAATGTTCAGTTTTTCAAATTTAATCTCTGTTTACAATGGCAGTGTTTGAACTCCAGAAAACTTTGCCCTTGGGTGAGACTGCGATATTGTGTATATCCCTTCAAAAGTGGCCGCGTTTAAGGAGCATGTGTGAGGTGAGTGCTGCGGCAGAGGACCTGACCGAGGATGTGCCAGACAAAACATATTCCAGTCTAGTCTGGGATTAACCGAGATTTACTGCAACACTACGCTCTCATGAATGAGAAGGGGAAAGGCAGAGACGGGGAGTTGCTCCAAGTGAGCGAGCTCTCCCCAGCGCCCTCCAGTTTGTTGTGTGGAGCTCTACCTGCCCGGGGCGATGCACCATGGGTGGCTGTGGATGGAAGGGGAGCACAGTGAGGCTTTATGCTCCCGTTCAAAACAGCTCACCGATACTACAGCGCCAGGCTTACGGCCGGCTGCAGTGGTCTGAGCAAACATCTGAGGGAAAGGCGCAAGCGCCTGCCTGGGAGAAATCGCCTCACACTCCTGCGGGGAGGTGTGTGGGGACGGGGATGGAGGGGGAGGATGGCAGGGCAGGCGTGAGCCGCTCCCTGGGGCCTCCAGCGTGTGTGCCTGGTTGGAGGTGGTGTCGGTGGGAAGGCATACAGCTCCTTTCCACATCTCCCAGTAAATTCATCTTCATATGTTACCATAGGTATAGCAAGAATTCTGATGGATCTAAGAGAATTTGGAGTGAGTCTCACTTTTTCTTTATTTAGCTCCCTCCTCATATACGCACTACAGAGCTGCAGGTGTAGGCATACTAGTCAGGGGTGCAGTAACTTCATGTTTTATAAGCAGGCAATTAGACCTTTGTATCAGTCCAGTGTTATACTGAAATTATTAAGGCTACAAGAAGAAAAAGTAACATTTGGTTATGGATATTCAGACAGTGGTCTGAATCCTTACAGTGACTTTAAACTGCAAGCATTTCTGAACAAGGGCACCTTTCTATTAATGGTGTTTCAATAAATAATAAAGCATGAAATTACCAAATGAGTTGTCCAGTTTTTCATCCAAGCAAAAGAAACCATGTGTAATGGTAGGACTAACCAGTTTGCTTCAGTAACTCTGAATTAGCTCAGTGAGTGCAAGTTTCACTGCTCAAAAGGTTCTCTCCCTTTTCCATAATTATAATTGAATTATCTTGCATATTTAGCAATACACTGAATGAAAGAAAAAGTAGTCATCTCATGTTATATTTGAGCATGGGAGTTTTACCGTAAGCCCTGTACTGAGACAGCAAACTAAGGACCAGCACTCCAATGCCTTAAATTGAGCTGTTACTTAGAGCAATTTATTTCTGGTTTTCTTTGCTCTGAAGATATCCAGAACAACGGTCTTTTAGCTGTCTTCCAAATGCCATATTCTTCGAATTCCTTTCACCTATAGTGAAAAACACATATTTCCCTGTGGCACCTAGATGACTGCAGTTGCTTGTGGCTTACCTGTCCTGGTTGTTCACAGGCTGTCTGGTATCTTGCTTGTTGGCATAATTCTTTCACTCGCTCGTATTTTGGTAGTTGATTAGACTGCTGGGTGGTTTTGTTGGGTTCCTCCTTCTTGCGTAGAAATTTGCTTTAAAAAAAAGAAAAAGGTTGAATATTTTAGATACATTCTTCTAAACTCTAGAGATGATGAATTTAAATGGAATAGCAAAGTTACTTGAAGATTTAATGTCTTCTCAGGGAAAAGAATCCCCACATTTCTGTTACTGACCTTCAGTGTAGGTCATGTACAGGTGAGTTACTAGAAATTACCCAAAGAGAAATAAGGGCTGCTGAAATTTGTCTAACTGATACAGTTCAGCACCATTCATACAGAAATGCATGTTTTTTCACAAAACAAAACCTGCTGAAATACTACTCATCTGGCTGAAAAGCCCAGCTGAAGATACTACAGAGCTTGCATATTCATTCAGCACTAGCTTGGCTGTATCTTATATATTACATATATATTATATCCACTGTTTTGTAATATATCACACAAGATTTCCATAATTTGTAAGGCCATGAAGTGTAATGAGGAAATTACTGTAAAATTTTTACCCAGATAAAATTTTCACAGCAGTAATTGGAAAGGTGAGAGCGTGTGAAAAGGTAGCAGTGAAAAGAGGAGCAGTCATTGTCATAAATCTCATTTACACATAAGTCTTTTCTTAGCTAGAACAAAAATAAAGAATGCTTCTGATATGTGAAAGAAAGTACAAAATCAGTTGATAAGAGGATTCTGCACAGCTGGATTTGAAACAGAGATTTGGTAAGAAAATGAGACAGGCGATGACATAAGTGGGCACAAATACAATATTAGAGAAAGAGTAGGTACAGTCTAGGAGTCACCAGAAAAGCACGCTTTTGAATTTCTTCAGAGGTAGGGATTTGGGAGCACCGCAGCTTGCAAAGCCCATGGTGGGAAACTAAGAAACAAGTCAGGCCTGTAAGTTTGCTTGCAAAATTTACTGCTTTGCTGACCATAAAAAGAAAGAGGAGGAAGCAGAAAGGAAAGCATGTACAAGAGAATGTTCCCAGCAGGCAGGCTCTCCCAAAACTCTCTCACCCCTAATAATTACCCTCTTTCCACCAGGAATGTGTCACGCCAAATTTTGGTCTTCTTGTTTGTTCGAAACCTGAAAGCAAAATAATAATATTTACTGCTGGCACCTATGTATAGCACTGCTAGTGTTAACAATTTATTTAAAAAAACCACCTCTCCACTTATAAGTACCTGTAATTTTATAGATGCACTCTTTAAGAGACTCTTCAAATGTGAAAGCTGTGGTTGTTGGCATGACACAGCTCATTTTCACAGAATCTCTTTTTCCACTCCGTTGTTGACTTACTTAGGTGTTTGCTTCTGAACTGGCTAAAAAAAAATGCTGGGACCCACCTGTTTCCTGGTCTTTCCACATCCAGAAGCTTAAGGACAGATTTGCCATCCATATCTGGAGGCGTGTCAAGTCCTGCTATATCCAGAATTGTTGGAGCGAGATCAATATTCAGAACTATCTGAGGCACTCTGCAAATCAGCAGAAAAGGTCATAGTTGTCATGTGTTCGATTAGTAAGTCTTCACATTCTCTTGGAAATAGAATGGTAATTAATGTTTATCACGGCTTTGAAGATGTAAAGCTGTACAGAAGCGCTAAGTTTAGAAAATACTCTTTGAAGTCTACAACTCAGAACGACAGGCCAGTACTGCAGACTGCCATCACAAAGGAAAAGCTAAGCACAATAGAACAAGGAGGTGCAGTAGCCACACTGCTCTCATTGACAATGAGGCCATGATGCCGTCCATTCTGCTAATCCAGAAGGCAAGCAGTAAAGATGAGCACCTACTTTTTAAAAGCAAACCCCAAAGCCCAACCCTATAGGACTAGGCATTATACAATTTTCTCATCTGCATTGTAACTTATTCATCATATGCAAAATTAAAGATGTGCCTCTTTATAAGATTCATTGCTCAGCAATAAGAGGGCATCCTTTATCAAATTAAGCTAGACAGAATGATAATTACGTGCTCTTAGAGATATTTTACATTAGGTTCAACAGCTGTGCTAGAGACATAAGAGAACGTACACTGATCCCGGCTCTACACTTGGACCACGAATAAAGAAAGGAACTCGAATATCAAAGTCATACGGCATTGACTTCCCCTTGACCAGTCCGAACTGCCCGATATGGTAACCATGGTCAGCAGTATAAATAATGTAGGTATTCTCCAGTTCTCCCATCTCTGCAAGCATTTGGTATAACTGCAACACAGCATAGGAAAATCTCTCAATTAAATGTAAATTATTTGTGTATAATCATGCATAACCATCATTTTACTCCCTTAAATTCACAGAACCAAACATGAAATCCATGAGGTGGTTGAAATGGACAATCTGGGGATGGACATTTTTACACCTCATCTTTACTGTGCTGCTAAAAAAATTGACTTAAAAGTTAAATTCCATATTTGACAGAGGGGAAAATTAAACAGGTCCAGAAAATTAAATAGCAAAATATGGTACTACTAATGTAGTTGCATTAGCATGTCCCAAAGTCATTGTGTACTCAAACACAGCCTGGGAAAAGAAGTCTGCTACAGCTTTATGGCAAATGGTACTCAGATTTGATTTACTGTGTTAGTCTACAACTTTTTCATTCCTTACAGTTGTGGGCTTGGGAAAAGGCTGTAAATTTTTATTAAAGTTTAAAGAAATCTCTCTGGGGGAAGATCTTTGGTCATGGTGCTTGATTTTTGAACAAAAAGTCATGCAAAGTACACCTCATAGTTCATGTATCACATTACCTATAATTAGCTGTGCATTGCACTGCCCAACTTCTACAAACACTAGCAGACTGACACCTGAGTTGCTGTGATTTGCCAGTTCCCAGATTGCAGCTGAAGGATGAACTGTGAAGGGAGTGTGTGAAATGAATAGAAGTTGTCATGTGCGCACCTGTGTCTAACCATGTGTACACGCGGGTGATGTATCTTCTGTTAATACCAGGCTTTATATTAGGCCCAGTGACTTTTCCCTTTTAAAAATCTTACCAATTTATTCAAGCAGCAATTAAAAGAAGCAAGCGAGGAGCTTGGCACTATGTTGCAGAGAACAAGAATTCATTTCTATTTGGGATATGCAGAGTAATTCTTTGTAGCCCAAGGGCTCTCCCCACTCTGTGGTTGGTGCAGATAAAGAGGAATTAATTTAATTTTGTTACCAACTAATAAGGTTGTATCCACTTTTTCTTTCCATAGAGTCATCAACCGACATCAGGGTCTGAAGTCGTTTGCGCTGCAAGACGTTTGTAAACTCCATGTGGATAGGCAGCATGGGCCCCGTGTACTGCATGATCCAGTGCTTGTCCATGTTTGGTGCATAGTTATAGCTGGGGGTGCTGGGAGGAAAAGAAAGGATCTGAAAAGTTGTGCAGGATCACAGGCATTGGAGGAAGGTGGGAAGTCCTCTAACAGGTTTAGTCAACAGACAGTTAAATCACATTTTCCATGTGGTAGCTGGTATTTCTAATGTCAAGTATCAACAAACATGCCTTCAATGACTTTCAAGCTCAATTGGTTCATACCAACACTTCACCAACATCTTTTAACCACTTGCTGTATGAGCTATCTTTAAGGCTCAGAGACCACTAACAGATCCATGCTAATATTTGGGATATGACAAAATGTATTTCTCAAAAGCGTCTAATAATTTAAAACGCTTATCTGAATGATGCATCCCATAAGGTTCTGCAGAAAAATGAAATAAGTCAGACACCAAAGATGAGTACTTCCCCTTAGTATTAATGTAAATTGCCCTGATGCTTCCAGTGGAGAAATTACCTTTATATTAGCACAAGTTAAATGAAACTCACAAAAAAGGTATTTCCTGTGGGATTAAGAAATTTAGTAGTCAGTACTAAGATAAGAACAGCAACACTAGTGTTACCAGCTTTTAAGAGGCACGGAAGAGAGAAAGCACTGACTTTTTTCCCCTCCCTATCCCCAAAGGCAGGTGCAAGCATTGCCAGGCGTCTGAATGTGATCCCCCCTGGGGCTGGCTACCTGGGTACAGGGTCAGTTCTAACACAAAGCCATGTTGTGTCCTTGAAGGAGAGAGCTTAGAAAGTGCTACAACCAGCGTCTTTAACTCCAGACCCCTGCTCAGTCTCTGTTATTTGCCCTTGGCCCTCACCTGAGCTTACATCTCAGTGATGCCAGGTGATGTGGTAGACATGCAAATTCTGCCCATACCAAAATAACGTTTATTTATACACTAAATACTGTTGAGGTGTTACTTTTTATTGTGAACACAGACTGCAGTGCATTACCAGCATAACATGATCTATATCAACAATATTGAACTGGTACTGCTGTCAATACTAGCAACAAAAAGTATGGCACGGT